TAGCTGTCCGAACCCGAGGCGCAGCGGCAGAGCACGCACGCGACCGCTCCGAAGCTGGTCGGATTGCGGCAGAACCGGGACGCGGCGAGGACCCGACTACTCGGATTCGGGCGCGGGCGCGGTCGCGGGCGCAGGCGCGGGCGCGGGCGCGGGCGCGGGCGCGGGCGGGGAAGGGGTCGGCACGACGGCCCTGGTGAGCGTGCGGCGGAGCGGACAGCGTCAGCGCCGCGGCAGCGCCAGGGCTCGGTGCTTGATAGATGGAAGCACAACCTTGCGTAAAGAGGGGCTCAATTCAGTCAGCGCTGAGCGTAGAGTGCCGGATCAGGCTTAGCCCGCGGCGGAGCGAGCTTGTGGCGGACGAGGAGGTCAAAAGCGAGCTCGTTGTGGAAGAGGTCGCCGTCAAAGTCGATGACAAACGGGCCGGGGGTGCGCGGGTCGGCGGTGCGGAAGGTAAACGTGCGCTTCATGTCACTGCGCTTGCCGTGGCGGGACGAGCGACGCGGGCGCTCCTCGGCAGGCGCAGCGGCGGCGGCGTCGGCGACCAGATCGCGGACAAAGGCCTCGTGGGCAGGCAGGCCCTTGATCAGCTCGACCGACATGGACGCGACCGAGACCGGGGCGACGCGCGGCTGGCCAAGTAGGGTCAGCGTTTTGAGATGCAGCTTGCGGATGGGCTTGCCCTCGTCAAGGAAGGCGCGCAGATCGCGCTTGGCCACGAGGACCTCGTCGACGTAGCGCGAGGCGTAGGAGCGGACGCCGTAGAGGATGGAGCCGGCAAAGGCGACGAGCATGCCGGCGACGCCGATGCGGCCAGCAGTGCCCATAGTGCCTAGCGCATCGATGGTCGAGCCAAGCGCAGTATCAGTCGTCTCGGGAAGCTCCCCGTCTACCGGCGAATAGGCCACAATCAGCGGCGCCAAGGCCATCGAGCCCGTCACCTGCATCAGTGCCCAGTATCCCGCGCCCTCCAGCAGCCACGACCGCTTCGACGCCCGCGCCAGCAGCTCCAGCTCCGACTTGGCCTGAGCCTCGGCCCGTGCCTCGGCCGCCTGCACCGCTGCCGATGACGATGATGACGATGATGATGGTGATGATGATGACGATGACGCGGCGGTGGCGGAGGCAGTGCTCGACTCGGGCGATGTGCTCGGCTCCTTAAAGGTGGGCGAGAGGCCAAGCTTCCGTGCTGCAGGCACAGCAGAGGTGGTGAAGGCCCGTGAGGTGGCGGAAGTGGCCAGGATGCGGAGCATGGGGTGGGAGCGGGGGGAGTGGGGTGCGAGGGGGGAGGGGGAGGGGGAGGGGGAGGGGGGAGGGGGAGGGGGAGGAGGGAGGGATCAAACCGGTGGCGGCAGGCAACACAGAGCCACGAAAGTGATGAGATCCATGGCGAGGACTCCTCGGAGGGGCGTGAGGATCGATGAGATCGCTGGCGAGACTGTTGTTTGTCTGTGTCTCTGTGTTGGTGTCATCGCTCGCGAGCATACAGTCCGATCCAACAGTCCTCAACGTATAGCTATATCCGAGGAGGAGCGTGCTGAGGCTGGGAGGGCGCTCAGAGAAGATCACGATCAGTGATCGCTTTGAATTTTTCTCCCTCCTCGACCCCCTTACATGCGTCGATCCCCCCCCTAGCCCCCCTCCCCCCCCTCCGCACCAACACCGGTCATGGCGTTCCTCCGTGCGCCATAGCCAGCATTATCTCCTCGGCAACTCCCCATATGGGCCCGAGGAACGTACAACCTGCCTTGCCCCCTCTTCTCCCCTATGCGTTCTCGACACAACTTCGTTTTGCGTCTCCTAAGTATGCCATTAAATGAACCGGTGATAGCCCCACGCCAGCCCTCC